GTTCGGACAAAAGTTCAAACGCCCTATTAGAAGACCATGCACTAATTAATTAATGAATTACAAAAATATTGAATTTTTTTGATAAATAGAATTAATAATTATAGAAATATAACCGATTTTCTAGTGTTTTTTTCCGAAATTCTTCCTATTCTCTCATAAATAGTACAGTTTTACAAAAAATGGTAGTTTTTTTAGTGACAAACACCTAAAAAATAATAATTAAGGTTATTAATTTATTTTTAATTTTTAAAAATATTTTAATTAATAACTGACCAAAAATTGGCCTTCAATAGAAGGCCACCCAAAAAGTAGCTGTGTGCTGAGGCACTGTGTAAGATCATGGCCTTTTATTCTGGTGGGGGGAGGGGGGGTTAGTATAATTCTAAACAAGTTGGATTGAACCGGACCGCAGTGGTGTGACTCACGACGAATTGTACCTATTAAACACATTAATCGTGAATGTGAAGATGATTGTGTGTTGTTTTTACCTTTTGATGAGAGTTATTTTATTTCTGAGAAAATCGTTGTAATTAGCTCTAAACTAGCCTTGGGCGTGGCTTAGACTAGATTTCGTAAGACCGACTAAAATTGTGTTGTTACACAATGCCGTCTTATTGATCATCCTTTTCTTTCAAGCTATGTTTCGATAATAGACATTCACTTTCATTCAATAGCTCTACAACAACGAATCAACGTATTATATCTAAATAAATAACATCGATGCTAGAGTATCTAAGTGTAATTTTGAAATGACAATCATATTCGTCAGTTGATCATGGAAGTTTGTGTTTTCTAAACGAAGTACATCAGTTATATTATATGAACACTTTTACTAAAAAAACTAATGAATATGGAATTTCATAAAAATGCTTTTAGTTATAAATAATATTTACTCATCAAGTTACAAAAAACCATGAAGAGATAATTACACACAATTTAGTTGAATTTTTCAAGCCTACATAAATAGTAAACACTACCAACATGATGATATTCGCATATCACGCTTTATACATACTATAAATGATTCTCGATCGTAGGATTTTATTAAATAAATTCTTTGAAAACGCATAAATTCATAAATTTAAATGGCAATGATTATTTTACTTGGAGTTAATTTTATATTCTGGACGAATAGTCCAAGTGCTGTGACAACATTTTATCCAATAAAAATTTTTACATTTAATAAACAGTGAACATTTCTTTGTTTCAAAGAAATATAAACAATTCTTTTGGTTATAATCAGCTCTATTTTATAATTATCCTACTACATAATTATATATATAAATATATATATATATATACGTTCAGTATAATTTTTAGGCAAATTAATAAAATAATTTAGCCTATGAACAGTCTGTTGTTAAGAAACTATTTTCCATGTAGAAAACAAATGTATTTTCTAGATTGTTGTTATATATAAATGACATTTTATTCAAATGAAGTGCTTCGTCAATGAGATCATGCTCTTTTTGTTATCAATATTTCTCGTCATTTTCTATTATTTTTTTTATAGTTGATCACAATAATCTTAAGATAAAGCTTATTTTTTATTTGTTAAGTTGCCATTTGAATAGATCATTTGCATGATTCTCGTACAAATCATTTTAAGATCAACCATCATTCTGTCCTTGAGACATACACTAAATTATCGATCTGTTGGCCTTTGTTCGTCTTACATAAATATTCACGTCTAAATAAAATATACCAACATTTATCTGTAAATACACACGATACAGTTTTATTGCTCTGCGTTTAAGATGGTTTCAAAAGAAATAATGGCTCCTGATGTTAGTAATCGATCGATGTTGCATCTAAAATTTGTTAATTCCATGTCTTTTTATGGGTTCTAGCGTAAAAAATGGGCTAATCCTATAGAATTCTTTTTAACATTGGTGGCATTCGGTTAGTATACAGGTTCTAATATTGCCAAAACTTGAAAATGTTCGCTTTCTAAATATTCACTTTAGCTGTTGGCTTAGGAAATATTTGGCGTTTTCCGTATCTTTGTTTTAAAAATGGAGGAGGTAAAAAGAATTTCTACAAATTTTTGTATATATTTTTGTTGTTAATATTGCAGGCGCGTTTCTTATACCATATACATTGATGCTTATATTTATTGGTGCACCTGTTTTCTATCTTGAATTAACATTAGGACAATTTACTAGTGCTGGTCCACTAGTTGTTTGGAATGTTAATCCACTATTACGAGGTTGGTTTCATATTATTTTTAAAACAAATTATTCATGAGATTTCTTGCAGAAAATATTTCAGTGTGAAGATTGCAACAGACTGATATATTTATCATAGGCAAATATGTTACTTTTCATATATGGCAATAAATTTGGATACTATACGAAAGATAGATATCTCAAAAGTCAATCTTCTTTTATAATAATCTCAGAGAAAGTTTCAGTTACGAAAGAAACACAGTAGTCTATATATATATATATGTCCTATGAATACATTTTTATCTATTAAACTTTTATTACAGGTATTGGCTATGCATCATTAGCTACAAATTGTTTCTGGGGTCTATATTATATGGTGCTCATCGCCTACTGTTTTTATTATCTAATAGCTTCATTTCAACTTATTGTTCCATGGTCAACATGTAATAATTGGTGGAATACGCCATTGTGCATGGATAAAATGACATTAGCTAATTTAAGTCAAAGTGACCTGATTTCAATGAGAAGTATCGTTCAACGTATTTGTTTAATTATTAAAAAGAAACCATGTATTTAGATATGACAACTTCACCTAGTGAAGAATATTTTTAGTAAAATGTTTGGTTATTGTTTTGAAAATGTTTAGTGTCTTTTTTTTCCATAGTCGTCGAGTACTAGAAATGAGTAAAGGAATCGAACATCCAAATGGTATTGTTACTGAATTAGCTGTTGCTTTAGCTATAGCTTGGCTTATTTGTTTTTTGGCATTATCAAAAGGTGTCCAATCACTGGGCAAAGTAAAAATGATTATGTTCATTCAACTGTAAATAAAATTAAGCGATTCTATAATTTAATATACATAGGTTGCATATTTTACTGCTCTATTTCCTTATGCAATGTTAACTGTTTTGATTATTCGTGGAGCAACATTAAGTGGTGCTGTTGAAGGTATACGATTTTATATGGGAACAGTTAATTTCAGCATGTTAGCACAGCCATCTGCAAGTTGATTTTAATAGTCAATTTAAAATAAAAAACATTTTTTGTCTCGATCATTGCAGGTATGGAAAGATGCATGCACACAAGTATTTTATGCATTAAGTTGTTGCAGTGGTGGTCTTATTGCAATGGCATCATTTAATGATTTCAATAACAATGTTTATCGGTATATATTATTTTAAAAAAAGTGTAACAATACTGATCGGTTTCATTGATTTACTTTTTTTTTCGAATATTTAGTGACACGTTGGCTATTTGTATTGTTACATGGTTTACAAGTGTATTTGGTGGTTTTGCAATTTTTACAGTTTTAGGTAAGAATTTAGTCTTATTTCTATGAATTTCTTTCGTATTTTTTTTATTTTTCAAGGCCATATGGCTACAAAAATGGGTGTAAGTGTCGCTGATGTAGCTAAAGGAGGTAGATGAATATTCTATTGATTATTGTGTGACATGTCATTATTATATTTTTTAAAGGACCCGGTCTAGCATTTGTTGTCTTTCCGGAAGGCCTATCAATGATGCCATTTGCACCTCTATGGTGTGTTCTATTCTTTTTAATGATGTGTACACTTGGTTTTGGTTCTGTAGTTAGTACATATAATTTTGTTTTGAATTATGAATACGTTTTTGCTTAGTTTTCTATTATGGAAACAGTCATGGCAAGTATTATTGATCAATATAAACAATATTTAAATACGCAGAGAAGAATCATGATTTTTCGATTTTGTTTATCGCTTGTTTTCTTTCTTCTTGGCCTATCTATGATAACTAGAGTATATTTAACTATATAAGAAAACATCAATCATATAGATGTAATTATAATTCTCCTAGGGTGGTCTTTATGTTTTGAATGTAATTGATCAAGCTCTGGGTGGTTTTCCTTGGCTAATAATCGGTGTGATAGAACTATTCTCTATTGCATGGGTTTATGGTTATTAACAAAATTTTCATGGCGTATAATTTTTTCTTAAAATATATATTTTTTCCTTCTTCAGGTATGGAAAATTTTTGTGACGATATTGCAATTATGCTAGGTGAAGCACGACGTCCAAGTAAATTCTGGCAAATATGCTGGAAATATATATCACCTCTTATTCTTCTTGTAATTATATCTATGTTTTATTCAAACTGTGATAGTCATTGTATATATGTCTTAGTGTACAATTGTCTTTTCTTCTCTATTCTACCAAGACATAACACTAGATGATTATATATATCCACCATGGGCACTTACACTTGGTTGGATAGTAGTAATATTATGTCTTGGTTGGCTTCCGTATATTTTTTTTATCGAAATTTGTCGTCGGGGAACTTGGCGTGTACGTCAGCTTTTATACTGGTTCATTGATTTTATTTTCTTGTTTTGTTCATGTGTGTAGATAATCAAAGAAGCACGTCTACCTAGTATCAGTTGGGGACCAGCAAGAGATGAGCATCGACAATTATCAACTCGCTATGCAAAAGATAATAAACTGAAAAGCCTAAGTATGCAAACATTAACAACGATTGACAGTGGTAATTTTGATTCAAACACAATAGTGGATTCAACCTCATTTATCAAAAATGATGCGCACCTGCCGATTACATCTTTTTGACATTACAAGATAGTTACTGATTAAAATATTTTCTTTGCATAATTGAAAAAATATGTGTATTAAAAAAAAAACAGGAATATATTTTAAGTAGATTTATCGTCGGATCAATGCTGTAATCGTCATTTTAGCCAAAACAAGCAGCTCGATTGGTTATGAATTCTTCCAAACTGGCACAATAACGTTCTATAAGAGTACAAGAATACACAGATTTTTATAGTTTTCTAGCCAATGAAAAACTTGTCAAGATATTAATCGGTGCAATTAGAGTGAATAAAAAGTAATAATAATCATACAAGAATGAAAAATCTAATGGACTTACCAACATGAATAAAGTTGCTTACTAATAGAAAAAATATCGGCAGGTTAGGATGCAAAAATATGCAAGAGTTGGCGGATGATTTATATTCGCAAATTACTTTCAATTTATTGATAAACACTGACTATCAAGAATGTGTTAGCCCTTTCAAGCGATTGTGTTGAATGAGTATAGCGATATTAAAAGGAAGAGGGAAAGTTGACAAATCAAAGGAGGAAAAGAGAAGTGGCATAAATGCATGATCCTAGTGGCTGCTTGTTATGTTGATAATAAAATAGCAATACGACTGAGTGATCATCCACACGGAGCTCGATCAGAATTGATTACATCTTCATATGAATGGCAGAAGCCTTTGGCACGTTCTAGAAAAACATACACTTATTTTCGTTAGCTAATTTTTATCTTTTTGTTTCAAAAAATAGAAAAAATTATGTTTAATTTTTGCACATATTGCATTAGTTAAATATAATTTTACGGGTTGTTAGTAAAGCTCGAATAAGAATCACTTTCTCGTTAATTGTATTCTAAATGCTTGACTTCAAAATATTCCAAGAAAAACATAACAAACATGAACTTATTTTATATCTATCAAGATTCGTTATAGCACAATAAAGGAGATAGAAAATCAAAAAACAAGTTGAAAGCTTCAATATGACTTGTAAGTTTCTTCATTATACTATATCATCTATATAAATCTTCTGTTTTTATTTGTAACCATGCATTTATACGAATACTAAAGCAGTAAATAATAGATAGCATGGAAAACAAAAAGAACGGAGAAATGTTATATTAATTACAAGCAGATTATGTAATCAGTTTCGACAAATATAAATTATTATTATTATTATTCATTTATTAATTAGCCAGAAATATAATCCGCTCAATGACTAGTAGTGCGCCGACGGCAAAGAGAACCATGCAATATATCTTGAATGCTACAATATGTTGAGCGTTCTAAATAATTAAGGGTGTTAATAGAAACATGCATGGGCTAGTTAGTATATAAGCAAATAGTGCATTCTATATGTTGAATATTTAGAGATAAAAAATAAAAAGAATGAAATTAACTTACTTTTCAATTCTTGTAACTGATCCGGATTAGGATCATTAATCAATCTAAGATATTCATGTATCTAATGATAATATAAAAGAAGAAGAATTATTATTTTCATTGAATTCAAGCTTTAAATCTAACCCATTGCCGTTTATAAAAATTTTGTTTATCGAGTTTAGCAGCACGTTCTTCAGCATTTGATGTTAATAGAAAACGTCTTAATTTTTCTAATTCATATGTTCGACGCTGATGATTTAGTTCATCATCATCGGAAACAACCATATCTGTTTGTTCACGTTTATTCATCGATACTGCTTGTGACAATTTAATTGATGTTGCAAGTAAAATAATTAATAAAAACATGACAATTGATTTCGATGGGATGGAGAATCTCAGCATTTGTGGCGAGTAATACTGCATAGGGTATTGGATAAAGAATCTCTCTAGAATAAAAACTGTAATGCGGAGAACATATATGTATATAAATATATATATACATCTACATATCAATCGGTGATTAAGAAGTAATGTATTTGTAACTAATAAAAACTCTGATACCGTCTATCCAATCAGGTAAAATACGATTCGCAATCTACGACATATAAATAAATGCACACACACACACATATATATATATATATGTATATTTGCTGGTTCGGTCTTTTTTCGCGAGGAAAAGAAACCGAATAAAAGAGAAAGAAAAACTACGTCAGAGAAAATTAAGCATACCTACTTAGATTTGTTGGTCGTTGACGCATATACAAAATTTCTTTCATTGCTCTCTCAAACATAAAAATAGTTGATGGCCAATATACCCGCTGCGTATTTGTTTCTTTCATGTTTTAAAAAAACATGTATTACATATACAGTGACACTTTAAAAACTCGTAAATGATGCAATACGTTCATCGATCTTTGTCGAAAGAATTTTTCTTTTTGATATGTAAGAACATTTTTACCAAGAAAACAATTGTTGTTTGGCACGATTCATCAGATGATGATGTTAGTCTTTCAGTCAACCTCTTAAAAAGTTCGTCATCTAAGATCTTGGTTAAATGCACTCTCACACATATTGAAGTGTACGTGTCTTTGTTCTATTCTATCATATGTTGAATATTTGAAACCTTTTATTAGTCTCTTTTTTATCATTTGCTTCTGAAAAAAAGTCAGCACTAACATCGTATCACTGATGAGACACAAAGATCACGTTAGTAATCTTCGTGTTTAAAGAATGACTATCAGCTTCTTTCTCGACTTCCCATTGCTGTTAATAATCATGAAAATGAAAGACGTCGATCAAATATATGGGTTTGTTGATGCTGCAAAAGAGTGTATTCGGTAAAGAGGAAGTGAAAGCTACTTAGGTGTTTCAGTTTCATTAAGTATTTTTTTTACTTCAATGCTGTAATTTGAATAGAAGGATTTAAAGCAATAAAAAATGTCGGATGAACATAAATCGATAATGTAATCAATACAATAGAATATATTAAGTTTATTTGCATCACATTTTGTTACTTTATGTCTATATTCTTAATAAGTATCATCGAGAGTTATTTTACTACTGCGTAGACGATTTTCTTGCTATAGATGAATTCAAAGAAACATTGTGTTTCATTTGAAAAGATGTACATTCATATTTTCGAGAACAATACGATAGCTGTAAAAATGTTATTGTGCCTGTTTTCGATGAAATTTTTAAGAAAACAAAAGCAAAAACATGAGAAATATTCTCAATCTCTACTGCATTGATAGTGATAAAATTCTTAGACTAATCCAGATAATCGTTTAATAAACGATTCAATTTATTTGAATGCTATAGGATTCGTTCGTGCAGCATTTCAATCAGGGCTCACTTGAAATATCAACGTCAACAAGTGTACAATATCGAGAAAAGAAATCAGGCTTCTGGTAAGATATCGTTCTTATTTATTTTTGATAAGAACACAAAGAAAACTTTAACATTACGAGTAATGTAAATCAATTTGTGCCATGAGGTTAACTACTCTATATGGGACTGTTGAATGTTGTATATAATATGGTATTGTAGCGTATGATTGAATTTATTTGTATCATTATCCATTGTATCAACAATAGGCTTCACTTCTGAAGCGTGTCTAAATGTGAATCGGTGGCATATTTTCAAAAGTTGGGTTTGGGTGTGGGTATGGGTGTTCTTATCTCTCTTCGCACCCACACCCACACCCACGCCATTATATATTACATTAAATGCATGCCAAAAACAATTTATTCAATCATATCTCAGTGAATTATGCGATTTGATTCTATAAAGGTCTTATAAAAAAAATTAATGAAAATAAGATTGTAGGATCACGATAATTAGAAATAATGACAACTTATTAGATAGAGATTTAAAAGAAATACGTAGCGTAAAATTGAATGTTCTTGGAAATCAACGATTTATGTTTTATATGCGTATCTGAAAGGAATATACTCAATGACTTGACATTTAGAAGAAATCATCATATCGGAGCAATGGTACGTGACATTCATAGGCAGATGCGGCGCACATGTACGTGGGATTTACTTTTGCAAAATGTAAATTACTCTTCTATTATCATAATTTCGGTCTTAATATCCTAAATAAGACATTGCAGTTGAGGGGAAAAAACAAACGATTGAAAATCTCTTCAATAGCTTCAAAGAATCAGGAAAGCCTAAATTCAAAAACACTATCACTCTTCGAATCTAGCCGATACCTCTTACTAGATAGATATAAACAGATTGAATAAACAGTATCACACAGTGAAAAATATTGTCTCAAGAATTAGAGAATAATTACAACATTGACCATTGCGATAATATAAAATAGGCCATGAGCCGGATATGGTTCACTCAGTAGCTATTTGTGATAATCAAATAGAAATAGAAAAAGGTTTCATACGTTAATTTTAATCAGTTTGAAGAAACATTATTGAAAGTATGAATTGTTGTTTCATTAGTAATTTAGTCTTTTTGATTGTATTAAATTAAATATTAGCAAATTTTGAATTCTTCTCATCAGATAACACACTTGAATGCAGGAAGCTGTTTGAGTTTCTATTTAAATTTACAGCAGTTCTTCGCAAGACTAAGGGAGAGTTAAGAAGATCCAGTGCGATAAGCTGCTGATGAAGAATTATGTTTTTTTTCATGAAATATTTACTATGAGCAATACATTTCAAGCACACTAATTGAATATCTAGAGAAAAACAATTGTTATTATTGAAATGAAGAAGACTGTCCAAAATACATAAGAACGAAACCGTATGTAGAAAGTGTTTAAGTTTTTCACACATGTTCTGCTTCCAATAATAGTTCCATGAAAGTATTCATCGTTTGCAATCAGTGAGTCATGTTGAGAAACCTTCCATTACTTTTGTCGGTCTCTCTGACATTTATGCGTTACGATTATGTGAAATCAAACAGCATTCGGCAATTCAACACGCTATTGCGTCGACAAGTTATCTTTAAATTTTCACAACAATTTTTTTTCTCTTCTTAATATAAAACTACAATATAGACAATCATCGAACTAATGTACCATCTCAATATCTGTCACCTTACGAAGATTGAAATATTTCCTATATATCATTACCGATCTTCTTTTATACGATCTTTTAAAAATATTTTGCGGCGACAGCATACGACGATTGTGAACCTATAGTTCTGTTTAAGTACCTATCGTGTTATTTTACTTCTTTGTTCTGATCGAATGAAATCTATTTTTAGCTCTGACATTAATATTATTATTATTATAGACTAACAGTTATCCTTGTATATTGGCACAAAGCAAATATGTTTTTAGGACTAAAACGTCAAAGTGACCTAAGTTGTAATGAAAATTCATTGACTCAAAATTGTTCTAGTTATATTCTTGATTCATTGAAAGACATCAGTGAGAATATTTATATTCCTAAGCAATAAAAAAAGAAGAAACATCATGATAAAATAGACAAAATGGATGGTAAATAAACTAAGTTATTGTTCACATCATCGATAAAATATTGTAATGGAGTATTGCAGTTGGAAGATGTTGAATGATTAGTGAAGCCATTGAAGTCGAAAGATACTGGTAAAATTACAATGTAAAGAGTGAGGAAAGAAAAGTATTCTGATCTTTTGTCAATTATAGTAGAATTTCATTGTCTTTTTCGTATGTCTCTACTTTTATACATTTCCTGTAAACAACGATGAACTCCACAATTTTCAACAGACCTATGTATAAAAAACGTTATGAATTAAATATTGATCCATTAAAGAACGAAATGGATTAGATTTAAACTAGAGTAACTTTTTTTGTTTTATTCTTCTTATGAATTGATTGATATAAAAAAAAAAAAATAAATTTACTTCATTACGTTCAAATGCTGAACAATGTTTTTCTAAACTGATTGAATGAAGTCATGTAAATAATTTTGTCGAAGGATTATTTTGCTACAATGAAGTAAATGGAGTATCTAAAGTTTAAATCAAGAATATATCCTGGAGACAAAAAGTTTAGCAACAAAATGTTTTCTTTCTTTTTGATAACAGTTAAAATAAACAGGAGATTATATTTGATTAGATGAGCTGGTTTACAAAACGTTATTGATAGAAACTAGGAGGTTAGTTGTGGTGGTACTCTTGGTTGTCTAGGACCATCAAACATATGTATTTTTCGTCTGTATGCTTATTTCCACGTCTCTTTTATTGTCCTTAGACTCAATAGAGAATTTTTCATGTTTAATGTTGTTTTCATTTTTTTTCTAATTTTGCAGTTTCTGATGAAGTCAATTTTCAATTTGACAGAAACTAATCAATAAACTCTGCAAGAAAAACAGAACGAAAAAAAATTAACTTTTTTCACCCTGAGAGAGTGTACTAATAAAAAAAATAGATTATTTCTGAATAAGAGTAATGAACTACTCTTTTCTATTTTTTGTATCGAGCATCTGTTTAATGCAAAAGAAATCATTACTTATAATACATAATTTCAAAGTTAATCAGCTGTACTCTTTCTAAATATCACTTTGTTCTTGTTAGAGTGAATTTGTAGGGCGATTCAATGATATACACAGCCTCGAAGGATTGATATGGAAGAATATATACGATATATAAACCCTCTCATTTCTTTATATCATTGCATCAGTCTCAAAATCTACTGTACATTAGAATAAGATGTCTAATAACTGATTTGACTCGAAAATGTTGCAAAAAATGCTTGAAAAATAATAAAAAGTTGTCATACATGTCTGAATGTCCAGACACGTTCGACATTGAAACTTTCCGGATCTATTCACCATCGAGAAATTGATAATTTCAGAAAATTTTACTTCACTATTTCAGAAATAGGATGACTTCATTCTTACTGTCGAAGTTATACTGTAAATTAAGAAATTCAAACGATCCAAGCAAATGTAGCAATGCAATAGAATTCTGTTGATTGAGTTGATTGAGGTCCTTGATTTCCATTCATATTTCCATGCACCAAGTATACTCTTCAATTCAAACGGTGCGGACTTCCATAGAACTTCTCCAATTGCCATTCCTTGTTTGATTCCTTTTCATTATGGAAGATACACAGACTTTTCTTCTATTCAAATCTAGAAAGTACATAGATTTGCTAATTACTGGATAATGCGTAGAGGTATAACTTCACCGACTGAGCCACCGTTGCGACACAGAAATAAATACTTGATTCTCAAAATTTTTGTACATTTAGGATCCGTTTCAGGGATATTCGTACCTATGTTCTTATTAATAAGTTCTTACGCGTCGTTTTCTTTCTCTATTTCTGTTCAAAATTTCTCAGAATTAAACAAATTTTAAAAAAATCAACAAAAATTTACAGCCGTCGCTACCACCAAATCAATGCATTGCATCACACCTATAAAAACAGGCATTGCTCATACATATTAATCAATTTCAGTATAAAAAGATCGAACACTTAAGATGTTTTGTCGATGAACTTGCAGATAAATAGATATTTCTTTTGATCACTTTTATCTACTAACAATTTGAATGAAAAACTGCGCTATAGCATAACAAACTTTTTTTAATAATCGAAATATGTGAACTTGAATGTCATTGATATTCATTTATTGTTGTCATGCATTATATTCTTTAATATTATAACTCTATATCACATGTCCAAATTCGAACTATTTGACTTCTTTTCCTATGCTAAGTTTGTTCCTCTGTGTAACATTAAAATTGTTTCTGATGGTTGTTCAAAATGAGTTTATATTCATTAATTAAATTATGAATATTTTCAAAATTAAATTTTCGAGCGATAATTCACAAATTTCTATAAAAAAAAACAACTAAACCATAGAAATCTTGTGTTGAATCACAGTACAATTTTAAATTCATTTTAAAAATAACGTACTCAGAAAAGAAGTCTTACAAGGAATTTTTGTATAGGCATGCATTTAATGTAATATCTAAAGCATTATTGCCAAACTTAATACAGTAGTATCTATTCTGGTGAAAGGATGCCTTTAAAAAAATTGTTTTATCTAATTTTGTAATTCAACATCTTTTAAATCCATTAAATATCTGAATGAAAAAATGTTCTGCCTTTTAATTCAATATATTATTACTTTCAACAAATGACTATCAATGAATTTATCGACCGGTCTAATTAATTTGAACGTAATCTATAAGTGATAAGTACTTATCAATTAATTGAAAGAGTATATATGAGCTGGGAATGACTGTAAGTGATAAGAAAAAAGTTAGTCTAAAAAATGTCTTGGGTGGTATGTGGGTGTGAAGAGAGATAAGAACACCCACACACCCACACCCAAATTTTCACCATAGATAGAGATCCTTTGGAAGTATTATCAGTAAAAATTGCATTGCTTTTCTTTCAACCACAGCAGAGTTATTCAGAAAATACCGAGCGTTGCGGAACTTCAAAATATGGAAATGTTTTTCGGGTGTATGTCGAAATTACGAATTATTCCGTCTCAGATTACTTTCGAAATGATCGTGCAATTGCCAAATTAGACCCCACAGTTGGAGCTACATAATCTGTGCTAGACTTGTTCTTGGACTAGTTCCGGGGCAGCGAAAGGAAACAATTAGTGACGTTACGGAATTTCCCAAATTATCAGGATTTTCTGGGAACAGTTTCGTGCTTATGTTTTCAGTGACATTTTCGCTCAAAACTTTATGGCTTGCACATATTTTAGTAGTTTGAGGTTTCCTTTACCTGATACCGTTAAAAATAATGTTTTAAAATTAGATTAACCGAGTATAAAACTTCTCGCAACAAAGCAGCCTAACTATTTTTTCAAAATATCAAAAAACATTTTCAACCAAAGAAAGGAGCAACGATTGAGATTTGTAGAGAATTCGATTCTCTATCCGATAAGGTAGTTTTCAGGATTTCTAAGAAAAATTCATAAGTCAGAAATCAAATTTAAAGAAGAAACATTTTTAAATTTGGATTCTCATCATGATAATGTGTCTGCAAATTATTTTTGAGCTGAGATTCGTAATCAGCGCAAAAAGCTGCGTGAAATCAAGTATTTTCCACATTTGATTGATTCGAGAAAAAATTCGAACCTTCCTCATGCAAGGGTAACCGATGCCTGGCCAGGCCGTTTTATGATTTTTGTGTTCTTATTGATCATTTTCTGAAAAATAAATATTACAGCAATATTTTTCATTATTTTACAAGTTTTGAGAAAAGTAGAATCAGAAATAAATTATCAACAGATCACCTATTAGTACTAGATTTTTTGTTCTTAATTTCACCTCTCATCATTCTCATCCTCTGAAAAAAATGTTGAGCCTCCCCTAGATTGAAATCGTTCGGCCGCCGTTGCTATGAATTTAGAATTAAAGTCTCAAATGATGTAAACTTGCTGATGATGACCGTTACATATAATTCATTTTGAACATCAGTTTAGAATTATAACAAGGTCGAAAATTCCGAGATTTCGTAAAAACTAAATATTAAAAACTGCCGATTTAATTCCATCAAAATCATTATCATTATAGCTTACCTCGTACTCAAGCGAATTCATATTTCTAAAATATATTCCCTCTTACACTATTAAGATAAACTTGTTCTTTATGTTCACTCATTATTTATTCGATTTAATAAAAAATTGATAAACAAAATGATAGAAATTCAATAAAATCTGTAATAGAGATAAGATAGATTATTTTTTAAAAAAGTAAAAAAATATTAGTTGTTAATCTCTGGAGATTTTATCAATTAAAAATGAGCTTTGACAATTATCATTTACTCAAATTCTTTTGATTAATTTTTATATTGATTAAAATCAATTTGTTGAAGTTTAGATTTATTTAATGATATTTGACTTGATAATGCATAATGACGATATTCAAATTCAATTTCACATAATCGATGAATACAACAATTCATTCATTGCAATAATTAATCGTTTTATTAATTTCTTTCTATTTAAAAGAAAAGAAAGAACAAATAAATATTCAATTGAAAGAATATTGATTAGATATTGGATATATTTATTGATGAATATTTTCATATCGAAATATTTGTTTCAACAATCTTAAATGTACCTTTTAATAAATATGTACAAGAAATAACTAACAAACAAATCTAAATATAATACTTATGATATGTTACAGAATTATCAAAGAATTTAAATTGACTATTAGTATAAACTAAAACCAAAACAAAAATATTTTGAAAACAAAACAAAACAAAACAAAACAAAACAAAACAAAACAAAAACGAAAAATCTACAATTAAATAGAATTCTATTAATGGATTGTATAATTTGAGTTGAATTCCAATTTTTCATTATATAACTAAAATAAAGTGAATTAGTAAATGATCAGTAGATCATGATGTTGAGCTTTTAGTGATTGTTTTTTGTCCCACCAAGATCTACGGACAACGATACTCTTTTTCTCTTCTTCATACAAGTTGACATCGCCGCCAATCATCAAGTTAGTGTTTTTTTTCAATTTATATAATCATAAGAAGTGTATGACATAATTTTGTACTCATCGTTAACTTTTTTGTATACTCAAAAAGTGAGTACACTCTAGAATCGGTCAGTGTGTCCGTCCGGCCGTAGGCACGATAACTTGCGAAAGGAGAGTCAGATCGTGATGAAAATTTCCACACAGTTCAATCTCATGAATATCTCGGTCGAGTTCGAAGATGAGAAGAATCCCTCAAGAAATGGTTGAGTTATCGAAAAAATTGTCATTTTTGACCAGGCCATCCCTGAGGAGGAGTACAGGGAATTTTTTTCAAAAAATAAATCTTTCTCAGAATTATTCACAACATATATAAATCGACTCAGTTTTTAACGCTGATTCCGAATCTGATATTAGTTTTGAGCTAAACCGTAGCTTTCTGATGAAACATCGCCTGAAAAACGTCTCAAAATGCACAAAAACTGCATCCAGAAATCAAATTGCCTAGTTTCTCATGATAATTTTGGTGTTCAGACATTCTAGAATGACTCATATATCCCGTGCACTTTTTGCAGTACACATAAGTTTCGGATGAAATCCGAAGTTTCCACATTTATTTGTTGATAGTATTGACAAAAAAAACTTTTTTTTCAGCAATGTTTTGTGATAAAAACGTGAATTTAGCTCTATTTAGGTACTTATCGTATTGTCTTATTTCTTATTTCTTATTTTTAGTTGACATATTACTAAAATAATTCTATACGAATAGTTATCATTGTATACTAGCACTAAGAAAATATTTGTTTGTCACGACATAACATCAAATAGACGTAATTTGAAATAGCAACACAGACTGATTTAGAAAAATTATTCTACTTTAATTTTCTAGTTATATTCTTGATTAATCGAAAGACATAAGTGAGAAAATTTACATTCCTAAGCAATAAAATAAAGAAGAAACAACATGATTAAATAAACAAAACCGATGGTAAATAAACTAAGTTATTGTTCACATCGTCGATAAAATAGAATGATGAAGTATATAAGTCGGAATAGATTGAATACGTAATGAAGTTATCATAGTCGTTGATGTCAAGAGACATTGGCATGAGATCCAGACTAAAGAAGAAAGAAAAATATCAGTTTTATGGATTATAATAGAATTTTCATTGTCTTGTTTCGTATTTATGTTTGATTCTACCTGTATGTATTTCTTGTAGACGATGATGGACTTCACAAGTTTCAATAGACCTATTCATGAAATATAATATCGAAATATATTTTTGTTTTTAGCAAAATAAACAGATCATAGAATAAATCTATTTTTCTCTCGGAATTTTTTTAAAATAAAAACTTAACTGACCTCATTATGTTCAAATGTTGACCAATGCTTTTCTAAATTGATTGAATGAAGTAATGTAAATAATTTAGTCGAACGATTATTTTGAGATAATGGAGTAACCACTGCATCTAAAGTTTTTCGTATAGAAATATATGAATCAAGAATATCAAATGAAAGCAAAAGTTTAGAAATGAATTATTTGTAAGATTTTTCTTTTCGTCATGAAAACTACTATAGAATAGATCAGATATTATATTGTATTAGCTTAAGTAATGTCTTATTAAAACCGTCTCAAAAAATAGTTTTCTAGACTCTAATAGAAAATCATTTATCACATAAAGAAACAAATTCTAAGATAAAAATAGAGCCATTTAAAGAGAACTTCAAGGATTGCGCGAGATATCTAAAAGATCTTCCTATTGTTTTTGTTGCTGTTTTGCTGTTAATATTTGTGAAAGAAGTGAAAAGAATACATTTCTAAACTGCTAACCTGCGCTTTCAATAAACTTGCTATTCAGTGCTTTGATTTGGTGTTTCGATGTATCGAAAATTGAAGACTAAAAATTATTTCAATAAAAATAAATTTTTGACTAATAAAAATTTAGTAAACCTACAGATGAAAATTGATGATCGTTGGTCGGCCAAATGATTGTATCTTGATCGAAATCTAAATTAAAGAAGTAAATAGATTATTAGGAAAAAATCTATAATCTACAAATAATTTTACTTCGTAATGTTGAACGTTCATGACCAATGGGTGATGGTTTTTTTGTTGTATTTGTTTTATTTCTTCAATAAAAACCATAAATCAATAAATAAACAATCCGTAAAATAAAATATTCTATTCCTTACAATGGTACAAATGATGTATCAATCTGTTGTGTTAATGGTTCGTAGTAAGGTCCGATTGGAATTAAAATACTATCTGAAAGATGACTAGTTGATATTGTCGTAATGGAAGAAGAGTTCAGAGATGAAGCCGGCACTAAAAAGTATTAATATTATGATTGATTACCAATGATGAATGTATCTCAATATTTGGATTATTCCCTATTCGACGACTATGAATGTGATTAACTTAACTTAACATAGCAGTAAACAGCAACTTAATGAACTCTAGACTGTTTCATCTACGTCAGTAAATAAAAAGGAACAAGTATTTTTCATGTTTGAGACAATTTTTAGATATCATATCGATTCAATAGTTTATTTATTCAAATAGATACTCTCTATGATTGGATCCGAGTGACTCAATACTGGATACAGTATTAATAGAATTCCATAAGGAAAATAATGTCTTGCTTAGAAGTTTAATTTCAAAGAATCTCTTTTATCCTCAGATACTTCTAGTAATTACTTATAATACTAAAGTAAAAATCTTAGATTTACATGTAGATAAGAAATAAAATTGACCACTAGTGACTTCAGATGAACTACTCCTAGAAGATTTTCGTCTTGTCTCTTAATACTAACCTTGTGGTTACGCTACAAGTAAAAATGTTTTTATTACTGAGATAAGTAAATTTTTAAGAATTGAAAAATAAATATATGTACTTCATGTTCTACTCTTCCAATTCGTAAAAAATGATGAAACTTTTTATAAGAGATTTTCCATGTATACTATGACAAAAAGAAGCTACTGTGTTTCGACTAGAACGGTATATAAGTGCAAAATTCATTTTCTATGATAATTAATGTCGGAAACGTTTTATCTGAGAATACATTCACCGAAGTGTATCTATCAAGGAATTTTCATGTTTAGTACTCACGAGAATGATCCGATAAAAATGTCGATGATGAGTCTAAAACAAAGAAAATAATAGAATATTTTTGTTTTATCTAAAACGAAATATCATTACTCAGATCGAATACACTATTGTTGTTTATATCTGATAAGCCAAGAATAATTGAACGCGCATGAAATAATTGTTCACTGTTATATTCTTGCGTTTGAAAACTTAATAACTATAAGTCAAAGATAACAAACATAATTAGAAAGAAAATTTAATAAATATTTACTTTTCCAATTTTATCTTTACGAGTTCGAATGATCGTAGATACATTAAATTTATCTTTTATATGAGCAATATCAGCTAAAAGTGTCAAAAAAAAGTTTCTATATTCAATTGCAAAAAAAGAAACTAAAGAAAGACATGCGAAAAATCCTTTTGGTAGTTGACTGATTTTTGAATTGAAACTGTGTACACAATCGAAACTCTGACGCAGGATAAATAGACTGAACAAATATTTGAACTTTTAACTCATAGACGAGAAGATTCTACAGTTTCATAGTATGTTTCGAGTTAATATCATAAGTATAGTTTGTCTGTTAAATTTCCAATTTCAAGATAGGAATAAATGAAAAGATCTAAAACGTTCAGAAAGAAAAAAAAACTCTTTGCTCTCATTAGAATATGTCACTGTAGAAGTTCTTGTTCTCCAGTGAAATGACTGAGTTAGCTAGCTTCATACCACGTGTTGGTTCTTTATCAGCTGATATTTCAAAGACCAAAAGAATTGGTAGACACAACTAAATGAGAAATCAAATAAAACCAAATTTGAATCGTATTTAAACATTAAGAAATTTTTACGTCAAATAGTTTTCTTGCTTGACACACTTGAGTTGAAGTTCCAGTGATTATAACTGATGTTCGTCGTCCATATCCATTCGTATTTGTTGTTGTTGGAAATTGAATTGTTGCATGTGTATATTGCTCGATAGCTGCTATACACATATCTTTTGATTGTTGACGTGTTTGTAAATAACCGTGATATTGTTCACTAACTTCTGTTTGACATGATACTTTAACTAGTGACGATTCAAAACCATAAAATGTTTGAATTAAATATTCAGTTGCTTCGGCTAACTCTGGTTGATTAATACTTTAAAAAAAAACAAGAAAGTAATTTTCAAACAAAAAACTGCTTTTTTTTTCTTCGTGATAACATACAGCCCACGAACAATGCAATAAACATCACCAGTTTTGACATAGGGACGTGGTAATACCATAACACCATAACGTATTCGAACATATTTAAATAATGGATAATCATCATTAATAATATGAATCAATTCTCTGGATGGTATAAGAAATTTTAAGGACATGGGTAAAATGTCTCGAATACGTTTTCGAGCTTGTTCTATTGATGTTGCTGTACCTGTTATTGATACCTATTAAGAATCATACAAGAAAAGTTTCTAATTGAATTCTTGTTTTTTCAATTTAACATACCTGATTGGATTTTGTTCCATTTGGTTCACGATTGCCATCAGGAAAATGGATATGTGTGTCTGTTGCCAGCATAATACTTTGTATTTGATTTCCATGTCGTCCTATACAATGAGCATGGTCAGTAAATGGAATTTCAATTTTATATGTTGCACGTTCCATATTCATTGTATGCATAGTAATGAAACTGCGTGAGTAATCGAGAAAATGTTTGATATTTATATCAATTGAGTATACGAGATTAACGAAAAAAATAGGAAGACTAATCGATTCACATCAAAAAATATCTTTGAACTTAAAGTCAATTTTTTATCCGAGACAACCCATGTACAATGGCTATATACATATTTTTTCTCGTCACTCTCTTGCTTTTTATTGGTTAATATGATTTTTTTTCTTCTTTTTCACACTTGAAACAAATAAACAAAATGATGATTCCACTTATCGTTCTTGCATGTTCTTCTCTTCGCATTCGTTATCACGAACACGATTCATCATCATGTCAAAAAGCATTTTCGGATGAGAGATTTTCGTAAGACAAATAAATATTCATACGCAAAAAAGTCAATGTTTATCGAACATTATTAAAAAATGAACTAAATCATCATATTGTCTATGTTTTCTTTGGTTGTCTCATTAGTAGAGTCAAAATCATGATTGAACATTTTTATTTTGTTATAAATGAGAAAATAAATTATAGAAGAATCTCTGCATGTGTGAGCACTTTGTTTTATTGGATACTCTACCATAGATTCAAGTGAATGTCTTCAAAAATTGATTGTGAAACTAGAAAGAAATCGTGTGAAAGGTTAAATATCTGTTGGAAGCTGAAAATTACGTCATTTCTTTCACAACAATATAGGAATGTCTAATTTCATTTCGAGTGAAGACTCAATGAGTAACAATTCATTAAGTTATTCTCGAGTTCTACCGATATCAGAAATAAATCTTTTAAATATTAGCAACATATGCTTTATTACTAAGATGAAAAATCAATGAAACATAATGCTATGGCTATATGAGTAACAATCATCAGATAGGCTTACGATGATGATGCATTTATCCTGAATGTTTAACAGAAAATAAAAAAAGTGCCAGACATAGTAAAATTTCAGTTTTGTCCTAACGGCAAGTGACATGAAATTTCGTCAAAGAAGAATTGTTTACTTCTAATTAATGAAATCGAATTTATTGAAAGTGATTGTAACTGATAATATCCCAATAATAAGAGTGTTCTTAGCATGAACAATTTTGTTTATTTGAAACGGTGTAACTATTAATAGAGACATTTCACTGTACTATCCTACATTCAAAATTATCCTTTTGTTATCAATTGGAAAAGACAATAGAATAGAAAATATGCATATGTTACACTACTATCCACAATGATAAATACACGTTTCGATTATCATCAGCTTTTTTTTATTTCATAAACTTCCATCTGTTGTTTTGTTTTTTAATTTGTCATTCGTATCTTGATTTATAAATCCTATTCATATTGATTATGTTTAACGAATGTTTCCAATAGAAACAGATTCAAAAATCTAGTGCAAATATGTAAAGCCGTCTTCTTATCTTATATGAAATAGAAAATTCCATTCAGTGATATATGTGTAATCGTTTAGAAATATTTACAGATCAAATAGAAGTTCACATGTAATTTTTTTTCCAATCATTTAAAATATGTAGAATAAATTCTTACGATTTCTATTTGCAGGTAGAAATGAAACTAAAATATTCCAAAGAAAAACGTATTCTTAAATTTTTATTCTTCATTCTGTTACTAATTGATTATCAATAGTAGACTGATTGATTGAGCATGTAAGGGAAAAAAACTAGAAATTTGACATATTGAGCGTTTCGTTCGACGTCATAACCGTAGCCGATAGATTGTATGATGTGAGACGATAGATTAGCTCTATTTTTTTCACGTAAATATTTCATAGGTTATTATATTATGTTAAATAAGCAATTATTAATAGTTATAGATAAAACATAATCCATTATTAGATTCACTTAAAAGAAATTTGATGCTAATACTTCTCATTCTTATTTTTATAAAATATCCTTCATGTCACACATATCTTTTTTTCATGTATTTTATTTCTGTTATTCCATCCAAGACAACGTGATTGTAATGATGACGGCATTGCATTAATGAAATTCTTTTCTTTCAAATTATATTTGATACATCACAGATCTATTGAATAATTAATCAAATTTGTTTAATATTTTTTTGAAGATATTGAAAATCATTTTTGTTTTTTGCATATCATGCATTATGTTACTGTCATCATTTTTGCATAGAAAATGGTCAAGTTTGATTTTTTCTTTCATACGACGCGTCTTGAAATAGTTTACAATGAGAAACAATTCTATGAAAAAAGGTCCCTTCGCTTCGCTTATTCTGATAGATCTTCAGAAAAGTTTAGAAAAAATCTCTGCCAAAAAGTTATTCAGTTCAATCTTTAAACAGAAAAGTTACAGGCAAGTTGATTCTATTGATATGTTTTCACTGATTGGAAAAAGATAAATTGAAAAGATCTATATAATAAATGATTTGATTATTAGAAACAGGTAGAATCAAAACTCATTGAACAAACATATTTTCATAATACTTCTCTTGATGTATGAAAATTACAAGTGAAAGTCTGAAATGTTTAGAAGATGATTAGTCGTTTAGATTCAGCAGTGAATTCTAATGAGAAAAAATTACAACGCCTCAGTCATTATTTCCATTTTATTCTCAATGAAACAGCAAGTATAAATCAACGAGACTTTTTTTGCCATTGATTACTCTCGAGAATTAAACAATAAATCTTTCTATTAAGAATTCAACATTTTCTATTTTTGAATTTTATATTTGAAGATAAATAATATTCCGAATCAAGCAGTCTGGTCCATGTATTTTATAGAATCAGGTAGTACAACGTTTGAAATTAAAAACAAAACGTTTTTTTTTATGTCTCTATAGAGATAGATTTTAACAGTAAAACTATATTGGTAACTTAATGAGACATCTGGTAAACACTCAAGTAAATAGACAATGAATCGTTTAGAAAAGAAAAAAAATAAGGCGTGAACATTCCGTAAAAATGAGAGAACAAATGAGAAAAAAAACATTTGTAGAAAGTAATGAGTTTTTTCTATTAGTAACTATCATACTCCTACAGCGAGACTGAGAGAGAGAGAGAGAGAGAGAGAGACAGAAGAGAAAACTGAGTAAAAGTGACGGACTGAAAAATCTTTCTATGTTTTAGATACCATCAAGCAAACCATATCACGCAAAACGATGACAACAGCCAGCGACGGTAACAGACAAATCTAAAACGTGTGTGCCGAAGTTTGCATTTATGTTAAATATGCCATCATTACAGTTTAATTTTATATTGTTTCTGCTAACTGTTGAATATGTGCAACAAAGTAATAAAACAAAACACATAAATTTATTTTTTAATACATAAAATACATTCTTTTTTTAATAGTAGCAAGCCAATGTCCAGCACCATTTATTAATGATAGTATTACAGATTTCTGTTATTACTATGCAAGCAACAATTTATCGTGGTCCGATGGTTATAATCAGTGCTTAAATAATAACACTGATGCACTTTTGATTCAAATATTTACGATGCAAGATTTTAGTAACTTAAAAAACGCCAATATTAGCGGAAAAGATCCTTTTTGGATAGGCGCAAATAATTTTGCCTCATGTAAGTCAACAGAATAATTTTGACATAGATGAGTTTTTTTTATATTATTACTTTCTTTTCAAAGATATTTTGCTGAAAATAAAAGAAAATACTTAATGTGGTATATGACATTAAATTTGTAGTCAGAAGAAAAAGCAACGCTTCCGGTGACACTTGTTTTTAATACTTGAAGCAATTTTTCATCCCATGTAGAGATAAAGCAACATTTTTGTTACTAAGAAAATCTTCTATTTGAAATTAAAAACATTTTTCAATTTGCGTTTTTAATTTTCTAATATAACATTATTGTAGATCGTTTTTATTTTCAATGGAATATCTAAAAAAAAAACTTCATAAACATAGACTAAATATGCTTGTTATCAGAAGAATAATTTCTTTTGAGAAAGAAAAAGCTGTGAAATTTGATATTAAATTTTATGTGCCAATTTTCGAATTTATAGTTCGCGATTCTCACTGGCATTGGCTCGATGGATCTGTTGTTAGCGATTCGGTCATTACATGGTGTCCCAATAGTACATATGATGTCGCAATAGGTACTTATTGTGCAGCATATGATAGTACTTTAAAATGTGTCAATAATTATTTATGCAGTACTCTGTTACCAGCTCCATGTGTCATAAGTAAGTTTTCTATTCAATGTTGAAATGAGCAGAGCAAGCCTTTCCTTTTGATTCTGCTCCCTACTGAATGACAATAGAGCCTGGCTTCAATGTTAACTCTTGAGTTTCATTTTCGTTTTCAACATTTTATGTTTCGTTCAACAATAAGTTTTTATTCAGTTGTAACTTGTTCATTTCTAAACTTATTTCGTTTTAGCAAAGAATAACATAGCACAACAAACGAAAAGTATTTTGGAATCTCGTCTATTAAGTACTAATACATGTGCCAATTTATATGAAGGCGATTATGCAAATTGGTGGACATATTCTATTTTACTTCTCAATTGGTTCATACTTTTCTGTTTTATTCTTTATTTAAGTAATCATTTTAATATCAATAAGCGTGCAGTTATGTTAACAATATTTATTGTTATATTATCATTTATGATGATTATTGCATTTTCTATTTTATGGGGTGTACAATGTATGAACAAGAAATTCATATTCTCATCGCAAAATTTTCTTATTCTTTTATACTTTAGATCAAAACATTATAGAAATACCATTAGTTATCGTGACGCTTGGTAGTGCAGCAAGTGCAATTCTTCTTATTAATATTTTAATTCTTGTGTCAAATCGTACTCGAGGTAAGTGAAAATTCTTTTCAAATGAACAAAATAAAACAAGCTACATAGTTACTTTGTATAGTACAAAAATGGATGCCACCTATGATTCTAGTAATTTTAACAATCATTATTGAATGCTTATTAATGCTTGGTCTTATTCTCTGTACTGCATATTGTTCAGCGTATATTACATTACCATCAACTACTCTTGATAAAGGTAATAAAGATGTATACTATATATAATTTGACTCGGCATTGTTTTATTAATATTTTAGATATTATTGCATCACTTTTATCTGCATTAGTTGCTGCCATAACTGTTTTATCCGTTCATGCAATTTTAGCTTTGATAGGTAAAATGAAATTCGATTTACGAGAAGTAATTTGAGATCCAAGATTTACGTCACTATCAATAATAAGAATAATAGCAGACTAATTTCATGCGAGAAAAATTGCTAGCTATTATAAAAACGGAATTTAGGAAGTAACATAATTTAGATAAAATTCTGATTGAAGATGAGAAGAAATTTCTCTATTTTGATTTCACTCAAAAACGGATTCATATTTTCTACAACCTTCATCAGTATGAAACTTGAAAACATTTTTCACTATTGTCTAAGAATGAAAAATGCTATCGAAAAGAAATCAATCATATATACATGTGTAGCCTCATACATTTGGTACTCAGGTTAGACAATAAACATGACACTTTGTTTTAGTTCAAGTTTCAATACTAAACTAAAAACAAACTGACTTCAGCTCTCCTATTGCTAGGCCGAATAATTTCAACGAGTAAAATGATTTCATATATTATTTTCTTTTACTCTTCGATACAGTCAATACGAAACAGAACTATGTATTTTTTATGAATTGCAGATCAAGATCATGTATATGCTGCAGCATCTAATAAAACAAGTCCAAACAATCCAAACACAGTCACTGGAAGACAAACGCTTGTTCCTCGTCCAATAACAGCTAATAGATCTGACAGAGTTGATCGTACAACATCACCTGTTGATGAACGTATTTTAAATGAATTCTATACTGATCATCCTAAAGATGTACATCAATATAATTTGGAAGGAAGACAATATGTTGTTTATGAAGGAATAAAGTCAATTAATATTGATGCATATAGAAAAGGTAAATAGGAAGACATAGATTATCCTTTTGATTATCCGACGTTGTTTTTTTCCATAGAATTAGCACAAGCAATGCTATCACAAGAAACACAAGGTTTACATGAAGCAATTTTTCATGCTAAAAATTCTAGTCACGCTACGGCACTAGCTGAAGAAATTCAACAAGCTGAAAGTTTATTGAATCGATTAAAATAAAAGACAATGTCAATTGAAAATCAGAGACAAAACTGATCTTTTCATGCTTAACCAGAAGAACTCGTTTATTTATCTATTGGTCTCGAGATATTTGAGCGTTTTCTTCCAGGAAAACTTAAATTAAAAATTTCACAAAAATCTGTAAAAATAAAATGCAACACAAAAACATTTCAGTAACATGAATATTTATCAAATAAATCTTTATCTTTGAATAAACACAAGTCAAGTTATTCGAAAAGACAACAGAACAAAAAGAATAATCGATAAAATTATGTTTTGTATTGGTATCGAATATAATACTTGATTCATGCATGCACCAACGAATGTTTGAGGACTAAAAGTTTCTGCATATGAACTTGTATTTAAGTTGATAGGATCGATTGATCCTATCGAAGTGTAGCATAAATCTTAGCAGTAAGTGATCATAGACTGTAACATACGGAACCATGGAAACGTCAACAACCTACCTTTCTAATAAATGCGCCATTATATGATTAAATGTTTTGGAGAAATGAAGAAATTTGGTCGCAAAATAGATGTTATAAAACAATATCTCCATTGTTAGCAACGGTTTCTACGTTATGTTTCAAAATAAAATCCCACGTGAATTGTAATTACAGTCTTTTGACGCACTGATATATTATTGTATTCTTAACCTAATGATACTTAAAACTATTTCAGATAAATATGAATTCTATGAACATTTGATCCTTTTAGCTGATTTCAATTTTTATTATTTTTCAAAGTTTAGTTTGACAAAAAATATTTCTAGAAATGAATCAACGAATTGTATCCGAAGTTGAAAAAGGCAAACATTAGAAACTAGATGGTATTCGAGTTTCACTCGACTACGAAATGCGGTGCGAAGCACACGAGCCGAATTTTCGAAAGTAGCGAGAATAAGATTTAAAAATAAATGATTCACTTTAAGATTCATTANAATGTATCATAATCTACCCTTTATGCTTTGGAGCAAATAGCATCTTCATATTTCGTATAATAATCAACCTATTGGCGTAGAATAATAAACATTTTTGTCAAGCAGTATTTTCAGATTTCTAATGGGTATAATAGAGAATGGTTCTTATCGAAGCGTAGGATAATATACTCTCTGTCGTAGAATAACATACATTTTTTGTGTCTCGTGCTTTAAGATACCTCATTCCGTAGAATAATAAACTCTCCGCTTAATTCCGTAGATTATTCTACATCTTTGTTTCTAATAATAAACCATTTGTGTCTGAATCAGTTCTAACATACCTTTCAAAAATTCTAATAAACTCATTTAAGACTAATAAACCCTATTGATAGTAAACCCTAGTGTTAATCAACCATTGAAAGGGTTGATACCATGCCAATAAACCCTTTGAGGGTTTGCTACTAAAAAAATAAGGACAAGCGTTCATTATTCTGCGGATTTTGTTTTCAGTGTAGGTTCACGTTTAATGAGCTCCGAGTGAAATTTTAACATGCGATGTATCAATGGATACATCATTGAATTTCGAGTTAAGTTCGAAGTTTAATTTGGCTCAATAACTTTCTATTTCACTTGATATATATTCAAATTCTTGTTCAAACTGTGGGCGAATTTTCATTTCTGTCATATTTATTGATAAACTCATTCTCAGCGTTGAAATTGCTATCTGTGTTAGATTTTTAGAAGTAGCTTTTGGGAAGAAAAAAGTTCTCTATCAATTTAAATGCACTTCAAAAGTTTCAAACAATTTTTCGGCTGGATATAGAGGCAATATGTTAACAACTATACCCATTCGGTGTGTATTTTGGATCTGTCTATCTCAACTAGACGCCACGCCGTGTTCATCCACACATTTTATATGATACAGTTTTTAACGGTCTTCTTAACATTATATTATCCATTAGATTTACCTGACCATCAGTAGAAACTAGATGGTATTCGAGTTTCACTCGACTACGAAATGCGGTGCGAAACACACGAGCCGAATTTTTGAAAGTAGCGAGAATAAGATTTAAAAATAAATGATTCACTTTAAGATTCATTACAAACGTTCATTTTTTTTAATTTCCGTATACGAATTTTGAATAAAAATTTTTCTTAAATCGACCATTTTGAAATTCATCACTAGGAAATCTCTCTGAAAATGTAACAACCAGTTGTCTAACAATTTTTTTCATTGAACGATTAATTATTTTAATGATTCACTAACTTAGATCAGATGCGAAGAAATAGACTATTGGCTACTATTACTTGATGGCGTCATTTTAATTAGCGCGAAACGATAAAACAATAAAACGTTTCAAAATCATCATTGTCGAATGATATTTTTAGGCGAACGAAGCCTAGTATTGAAAATTGGAAAAAAGATGTAACAAGCTCCACCTCCATAGTTTTATATCTAGTTTGAATGGATTTTCTATCACTTACGGTTCTCTAGATCATCGCGNTTTAATCTCATTATGTACATGACCCATTAGAGACTATGTAACTTGGTAACCTTTATTGAAAATTCAAAAATTTCATTTTCTTTAATTAACAAATAGATATCTATTATGTTAGATGGCTGTGTTCGAGTTTTATGTATATTATTCATTATATTCAATCATATACGTACTTAAATAACCATTAACAAATGCATCAATATGAAAACTTCATGTATGTTTAGCAACATGTTTTGTACGAACGATTTCGATTGAACATTTAATTATCTCAATGATTCAATATCTAGTATCAGCTGTGAGCGAATACACTAGTGGCTAGCATTTGTTGATGACGTCATTTTAATTATTTCGAACTTTGAAAATGAGCAATTCCTTTGTTTTTTTTGTCATTTTGTAAGTACATTTGTGAGTGAACGGAATTTCAGATTGATGATCCGAAATAGATGTTAGAAGTTCGATCTGAATACTTTCGTTTCACGTTTTAACAACTTTTTTTATGATTTTTCGTTCTCGAGATCATTGCGCCACAAAATGACAAAAAAGATGCGTACGCGTCAAGTAAAAAAGTAAAAAAAAAAAAAAAAAACACGCGACCGACTACATGAATGCTGTGCTTCGCACCGCATTAAATATTTTCTTTTATTTTAATTCATTCATTCATTCCTTACATGAACTCAATAAAAAATATTCCATGTTCTCTTATGCTCCATTGTTCTTCATTTATAATTAATTTCGATTTACATAATGACATAGTTGCTAACTCGTAGCTGTCCTTTTTATTTTTTTATATGAACAAAAAAAAAGAAAACAATGACAAAATGTATGTGTGTGTGTGTGTATATATATATATGTATGTGGATGATGAAACTATATGTATTTATATATGTACAACACAAAATGATGCTCATATCAGAAACAAATACAGAAGAAAACAACAATTTTGTTTGCCACCATTCTATTTTTCACAAGAAGAAAAAGAAAGAAAGAAAAAAAATACTTCGGTCAACTAATAGTTTAATAAATCATCATCGAGCACAAAAACATACATAGGAAAAAAAATCTTTTAATAATAAGATATATATATATATATATATATATATATATGTATGTATGTTAGCTTAGAAATCTAATAGATAGGACGCAGTCTTGTTTGTTTTTAATAGAATAAGCAAAAGCGACAAATAAAATATTTACAGGTGAACACACAAATGAAATGAATTAACCATCATTTGACGAGCCTCCCGTTGGCACTACCCTTTGTTTTTTTGGTATTGATGATGAAGAATTTGCATTGGAACCAGTTCGTTTTAGTGAATTATTTGATGGTGTTTGTTGTTGATCTTGTAGCCACCGAACTTGTGTTGCTGGTCCGTATCCACGTTCATTACGTGCTGCTATACGAAATATAATAGCAGGTTTACTACTTGTACTTATATCAAGATGAGCTTGATGAAGTTGTGCTGCATTTACTGAACATTCAGCTAAAACGCCACCATAAACACGAACAAAAGCCATTTGTGATGCTTGTTGTTGTTGACGTGCTATTGTGTTATCGGTGCCCGAATTTTTTACTGCTAGATAGACTGCATAACCAGTTATCAATGGTGATGCATTCGATGGAGGATCCCAAGTTAGATGAGCACCGCCATCAGGAGTCTGAAAAATAGAAATAAATATTTGGATAGGAATGCAAGTTCATATAGAAATAATACCTTTGTAATTTTAATATTAGATGGTGCTGGTGGTGAACCAGGTAAACATGTTTTAAATGCTGCTGCTTCACTCCATGGGCCACGCCCACATGCATTGACAGCTGCTATTCGTAATTTATAGATAACACCAGGTTCGAGATCAACTTTTTTAACTAAATTATGTACTTGAAGTGAATCAAGGTCCTAAGAGAATAAAAAACATTTGCAATAAAATATTTTGTAGTGGAAAATATTCTTTTGATGAACATGAGAAATTAAAAAAGAATTGTCGATCAGAGTATGAGATAGACTAGATGTAATAGTTAAGTAGTTTAGGACAGGTCAAAAGATTTTCAAAAGCAAAAGAGCGAATGAGCTAATAATAAGAACAAATATCAGAAGTAAATATATTATACCTAAAAATATGTAGTACCAACAGCTTTTGTTTTCAGTCCAGAGAAAAAGATTTCACATTGTATTTGAATCAAATCTAAGAAAATTGTCTTATTTATTTCGTTCTATGACTACGATTGTTTTCTTTTAAGTTACGGTCTAATTCATATGATGCATAAGATAATTCTTTTGAAAATATGACATATTCAACTACAATATTTGTTCTCATATTAGGACAATTTAATGCTTGTAGTTTCTGTTCTAGTTTCAACACTTTCTTTTCCTGCTATTTCAGTCTTGCTCTTACAAATATCTAATTGCGTCGTTGCACGAGAAGAGAGTAATTTCTTTGACTTTTTTTACTCGATTTTAACTCCGCCTTTCTGACTAAGATTTTCACCTATGTGTACTGTTGAGTTACTGTCATTCTCTAGTTGTTACATGACTTTGAACTATTTGAAAAAAAATTCTAATTTCGTCTTATCTAATTAAAAATTTTGTACTAACACATACATAATTATCAATATTGATTTTTGATGGAACAACATAATAATGCTTAATATCAACCGTTGTTGTTTTGAATGTTCCAATTAAATGCCAACCATCGTTATCATCGTTTTCAGATGGTTTCGTATCATTTGAAACTATTGGTTGTTGTAGCTCAATCTTTGAATTACCATTTATTATTGTTTGAGCATTTTCATGATTATCTTTAAAAGAAAATAAACAGATAAATAGAAAATGTTTTCCTTTGCATGATTATTAGTTTTTTTTACTTAGTGGTTGTTGTAATGCAGTATTGATAATATGTCCGAAATCTGTTGTTGATTGTAGTTGTGCTGGACTAGAAGAATTTCGTATATCTAAGATAGAGAAAACATAAATATATCTGTTCGATGTCTGTTGTTGTTGTACTTACCAGATGTACCATTTTGTAAGGACTAAAACGATCAAGAAGCAAAAAAAAACATACTATTGAATTTTTGATCTTTTTTTTAGATAGAAAATATTTACTTGGTCATCAATTGTTCCATCTAATTGTGGAATCAATAGTGTTGTACGATCAGGACAATCTTCATTATCAATGCAACCATCCAACTGAGGAAGTACACTATCCATTGCTGGTTCTGGTTGGCCGTTATCAGTATTTGTGGTCGTTGATGGTGGTGGTGTCGGTGTTGTATTAATTGGTGTTGGATTGATGTGATCAAAATTTTTCATCTGTAATGTAAATTTTTGTTGCTGCCCACCTGCCGTTGAAAATGCGTTTTGATTAAATACTAATACTTGTTGTTGAGATTGTGTTGTCATTGTTTTTTGTTGTGCATTACCTGTTAATAATATTGGTTGGTGTTGTCGATTTGAGGTTTGTGCCGTTATTGCTTTAATAACTAATGGTTGTTGTTGCTTATTAGTATTTAGTTGTATAATTTGTTGTTGACCAGTAGAACCTGGCCGCACTGTTGTAGTTGCTGGTGACATTAAACGAACAATTGTTGTTGGTTGATTTGATGCACCGCGTACAACAGGTGTTAATTGTTGAACACGCACACCAGCAGGCATAACAGTAAGAAGTTGTGGTTGTGTAGAGTTATTTGATGATTTTTGATGAAAGATTATTGGACGAACAGTATTTGAGCCACTGCTAGAATTCGTATTAAGAAATTGAATATTCGATGTAGTCGCTGGTCGAACGGCTAAAAAAATTAGAAAATATTTATTGTTGAGTTTCTATAATTTTATTTATGTATATTTACTTTGTGTTGAATTAAATATTGATTGGTGATTTTGTTGTATAGATGAAGAAATAGTTGTAGGCATAGTTTTTTGAAATAATATTGTATTGTTTATACTGTTCGAAGGTGATATAGAGACAGTTGGTAATGATTGGGCATTAACTGTACTGATTGACGATGAATACGGTGTTTGTGAAGAAGATAAATGAGCGAATGAAAGTAAATCTGATGCAGATTTATTTAGTGCTGCTGCTGCTGTTGTTGTTGTTGTTGTTGAAGATGAAAGACATGGATCGGCAACGCCGTCTAAAATATGAGTAACAATAGAATTTGAAACTATCAAAAGTATTTTCACTTAGTGAGTTGCAATATTAACTTCATTGTCATGGTTAATCAGTTTTTTATGTCATCTTTTTACTTCACTAAACTAGAAAAACTAAATATGCTCTGTGTCAATATAACCAACAATTTATCATGGAGCGTACGGAAAATGATCGAATGTTGTACTGCATATTTTATTTTTTCCCAAGAGAGGATATTTTTGAAAAATGTAATTTCCCGATCTAACTGATAATATGAGATTTTTTTTTTATCAAGCTTTGTCTTGATAAATTTGCTCGTGTTATATGATCGACCTTTTTATATTTCATTAACCACAGATATAACGATTTAGGCTAGTTGTTGAAATTATAACTCAATCACACAAAGACTACGATAAATCAGTCTATTATTACCCTTTATATTCGATATCTTGAATACGAACAAAAGACTAGACTATTGAGAAGCGTATTTACGAAACAGTCGAGGCATGATCATTATTACTGCTCACGAGTTTTTACATCGCTTTAAACATCTAAACGCTTATTATTCATAGATACAATTTAAGTGCATCCAATAAACATTGTCATTCGTGGTCTATTAAGCCAAAAAGAAGTCAAGAAATGTTTGTTTCTCAGCTTACACTCGCACTACTTTTTCTTCAAGAAACATGACGTGAGTTTTACGCAAATATTGAATGTGAAACGCAATTTACTTGTATCTGGAATGGCTGAAACAGATACACTTGTTGATTGTTGTTCTAAAAACGAAAAGCTCAAATTTAATTTATTGATTGAATTAAATTTACCATTTGCAAATGTTGGAATTAATGATGCGAGAACTAAATTATATATTTAAAAGATTAATAAAAAAAACGAATTTCATTTACCAGATTGTGGACTCTTCGAAGCAAAAAGAGAAGCCGATATTGATTGTAATGGTAACGATGGAGGATGAATTGTTGGTGGGTGAGATGTTACTGGAAGAATAGAAGATGATGATGGAGGTTGTTCGACGGGTGCTTCAAAACGTTGTATTTGTAAGATATAAGAATCAGCTATTAAGCATAAAAATGATTTTTAACTTGTCAAATAAATAATTAAACAATAATGAACATACCAGTTGGAACAGGATTCCATGATACTTCCAAATTTCCAATACCTGCTTTAAGTAATTGCACTTTTTCTGGTTCACCAGGACACGCCGTTTCTAAACACCATAAATCTTTACAACAAACCTATGAAAAATAATAGAAATATATGCGAAATTTAAACATAGAATGAAAACATGTCTATTTTATTTACTTGATTATTCCAAGCTTTTCGATATCCATCACGTCCACTCCAAATATACATTCTTGTATTCACAGTAACAGCACAATGACCAGCACGCGCTCTTGGTACATTATCATCTAGACATTCTTGTCCGAGAAGTTCCCAACCATTCGTTTCTAATTGAAAAATAAAAAATAGTAAGAATTTACTGAAGAATTTTCTTTTACCTAAATTAAAGGCTGCTAGCGTATTAGTACATTTCCATTCTTTTTCATTTGAATATTGATCATTTTTATCCGACATAATTAATGGAACCCAACCGCCAAAAATGAACATTCTTAAATATCAAAACAAATCTTAAATAATCAGTTCAATAAAAGTTAATTTACCGATTTCCCATGACAACAGCTGAATGAAGACTACGTGGTTGTGGACCCAAACCGGATGGTGTCAATTGTGTCCATTGGGAAAAATCTATTTTCATTTAAAGAAAAATATATATATTTAAAAAAGCAGAACGGAAAAACATTCGACTTACCAAGATGAAAACTCCATAGATCACCTAAACGATGACCATTCATACCACCATAAATAATTAATTTTGGTCGATTTTCAATTTGACCACGATAAAAAACACATGAATGCGATTCACGTTCAGTTGGTGATGTACCACGAACCATAGGTTGTTCCCAAACACAATTATTACCTTTATATTCAAGCGCATAGAGATCATTTAAATATCTAAAACTAATATTTAAGCAAACTCTTATTTGATATTTTTTATTCGTATCTTACCGAGGAACATTTTGTTTTGGATCTTTACTATCATTAGCTAGTCCACCGAAAAGATAATATTTTCCATCTGCATATGTTAATGTATGTCCTAGAATATTTAATATATATAAAATAATAACAAAAACAGGCTTCACGTAAGAAATTTACCAAGTCGAGCACATGGTAAAGGAGCTGTTCGAGGTGCTCTTGGTTTCAGTTTTTTCCATTCCCATTTAATGGGATTTAATTCCCATAGATCACCTGAATATTTTCCATATTCAACCATACCACCGAATACAAGAATTCGTGTACCATCAGTTGCAAAACCAAAGGCAGCACAACCTGTTGGTATATCACCTTTCATTAATGGTTGAAACCATTGGTTTGTAGCTTGAATATGGCAAAGAAAATTAATTCAAAATAAAGAAATATACAATTTTATGTGTTTAAAACAAACTTACCACAATTATAAACATTGAGATCTTCAACAATGCCTTCATTACCACCACCAAATATAATAATTAGATCTTTGACAGCTACTGCTCGATGACCATGACGTGGCTTGGGATTTTGACCGATGGTTCCATCGAGTCGTTTCCATTGAACTTTCGTTGTCATCTCATCGGCATCAATCCTATTGATCGATTGACCGGAAGTTAAGACACAAAAAGAAGAATAATGAATGAACGAATATATCAGATATAGAGACAGAGAGATAGCCACTAGTCAATTGCCATTTTGATAATTAATAGATAGATGCCTCTATCAAGATTTTTTTGACAGTTGAATTATATTTTGTATAAATAATGAAATTTCTGATTGAATTAACCTTAAAAAAGATACTTACTAAATACGATCAGTCTATATACATTTAGTAGCACAGTTATGCATTATGATCAAACGATCAAACTTGTCGTTCTTCACAGGTAGTTGAGGGTGTGGGTGTCGCTTTATGGTTGAAGAGAGAAGGAAGACCTAAAGTCACACCCACACCCATCATTGCGTATTCGAGCACACGCATTAAATAAAATATTGAGTGTAACACTATTAGATTAAATTTCCATTTTATCGTATAAAGCTAAGACTTTCTCTGGTATTTTACTCGTGATGAACCCTAATTGAGAATAAGTATTTTATAATTGTTAGATTAAAAAAATATGGGAATCTTTAAATATTGCTGCATACATTGGATTTGACGTGTTCACAATAGTCGAAAATAAAAGATAAGCTTTATGAACTTTATGTGATTGCACTAAAAAACTCGAATGATTAATAAATGCATGTATTGGATAAGAGCATATATGGATATTTAATATTTATTTAAAAAATTACTGCGAATTCATTCTTTAACTAGAGCAAAATATGAACATCTTTTTTTTATTAAAATTTTGATTGATTGAGCAGAATTTACAATTAGTCATCAATAGTGTATTTTTGTATGCAAATGAAATATTTTATATCTTTGATTTATGTTACAATTGTAATAATCATAGATCATGATGTATGTATGATTTATTCTCTAAGCTTCGTTTATTATTTTGAACTTATCATCAACAATGGTTCTTCGTTAAACAAATAAATAAGTTAATATAAAAGAAACTTCATAATTTATGACTGATCATTGTCTGTTTCATAGTGACGAAGATTTATTATTAAAACTCAAATTAATAAAGAAATGATAAGAAAAAAATTAGAATTTAATAGATTCTACTAAATTTTTAGAATGTCAAACTAAGATAAATAAATATTTATTTGATGATGTAACATAAATATCATAATCAAGCAAGTATTTTATTTCCTTTTCAATATTAAAGTATCAGTTGAACAAGATACATTAATTACTATATGACTCATACAAGCGATATGAGAGCGCATTTGGATAAATGAAAAATAAGAAATAAACTTGTTTTTTGTTTTGGTTACCAATTTGAAAAGAAATTAAAATTATGATCAATTAGAAAATACTTTGCTAAATTTAACTCATAGACAAAGTTTCCACATCGTTCATATAACTTTATTTGCATTTTGATTTTTGAAGTTCGTTTTCATTTTCTTTTCTTCGCTCTATTTTTTGTCTATTTTCTCGATCTTTAATTAAATCTATTATTCCAATCTCAACTAAATTCTCATGTCAACTGTAACATATCTATAGAGAGAAAAAAAGATACAATTGGATCTGTTCTATACTATAGCTGAAGATTGTTTTGCTAATAAATTTCAAATGTCACATTTAAAACTTTGATTTTTTTCACGTAGGATATTTTACATAAGACGAGTTTAGGTGATTATACATATTCGTAGGAGAACGTTTCTTTGTAAACTAGATCTTGAGATTATGACTTATCATCAAGATATGAGGGTAAGATATTAACTTGTATCATCAAATTTGATTTTACTTTCATTTTTTTAAAACCCCTACTCTAATAGGATCAGTCAAATTTAATAAATCGGTCCATTTATTTCAATACCTATAGACGTTTCAATAGATATCGCATCCAAAATAGTTTAGATGCCTATGAATGCCTGAAGAATCTTTAAATTGCTATGGAGATTTTCAAAACGTTGACGATGTTTGAATATCTAGGCAACATTTAAATAGCTGAGAAATCTTTAAATAGGTAGAAATCTTGCTTCTAGAATAATTTTTCATTAAAAATTATCGCTGTTTAGAAAGAGCCATATGATACAAATGTGAACAAAACGGACTTCTAAAAACTCTAGACGTTGTAGAGTCCATTTAACCTGCGACTAGCGCAAACACAGTGTTTTACAAAGCAGTTTTGCAAGAATTGTATTATCAATTTTTATCGATAATACTCATAAAATTAAGATAAATAAAAATTGAGTAATTAGTGATTTATAATGCATGAAAACCGTGATAAGCCAATATTATTTTAGTCAATTGTCATTAGGTACATTTCGAGGTGTCATTTACTTGATTTAAAAAACAAACATGGTAAATGTAATTATGTCACGCAAAAAAAAGAGAATGACTGTTTGTATCAACATTGTGAGCATGAAAACATTGTAATATTGAAAGGGTAATGAAAGTGAAATAATGTCAATAGAAAATTGTTATTTTTGTTTTTCGTAGTGTCTTAAAATACCGTATCTTTTGAGTAGATGTCATTACAAAATATTACTATTTATTTGAAGATACCTAACGAATGATATAAATCTTTCAATATTTATAAATTGCTCGTAGACTCATATGAAAAAGAACAAAATTGAAAATATTCATGTAATGAATTCTTAGTTTTAAAAATATCAACACTCTTTCGCTTCTCTTTCAGACATTAAATAAAAACAAACTATCGACATGAGTTAAAAGCAGTAACAAATCAATTGTAGAATTTATGTATTGTAAATGATAATCGTAGCAGGAAATTATTTTAATAAATATTATTTCAAATATTATTATTTAAATTCATGTTATCCCTTCATCTAACTTTCTAGAAATATATTCAATCCGAAAAAGTATAAAAAATCAAGCATGGCAAACATTCTACCATTGAATACAAGTACAATGGAAGAAAAGCCACTGTATCTCGAACGAACACGATTAAAACTTCAGCTTGCAAAGGATGTGCATGAGAAATTCGAGGTCAACATTTGTAATGAAAATTTTATGATTTATCCAAATGTTTTCAATCCAAATATATTTTTCGGCACAGAATTTTTAGCAAAAGAATTAATTGGTATCATTTCAGAATTTCATGAAAAACCAGTCAATGTTCTCGAAATCGGTACGGGTGCTGGTTACATGTCGATATTAGCTATTTTGAATGGTGCATCACATGCTACATGCACTGACATCAATAATGATGCTCTTGAAAATGCAAAAGAAAACGCTCATAATCACAACATTACGGATCGCATAACTATTAAATATAGCGATGTTTTTAGTACATTGGACTCTGAAGATAAATTTGAACTCATCTTTTGGAATTATCCATTTGGTCATATTAACAAACCAATAAACGAACTGGAATTATTAGAACGGGCACTGGTCGATCCATTCTATCAATCTCTTGATACGTACTTAAAGTATGCTCATGAGTATTTGAATCCAAACGTAGGACGATTATTCATTGGATTTTCAATAACAGCTGGTTATCAACAAAGTTTTGAATATATTGCAAAAAAATATGGATGGGATATTTTTCTAAGAAATGAAATAAAATCAGATACTTGTCCCGCTATGCAGATTGGTGCATATGAACTGACAAAGAGGCAATAGAAAATATTAATCGAGTTAGTTTTTCATGCTTTAATACAATCTTCTCTATTGATCAGCTATTCACATCATCGATTCAATGCATGATTAAAAGAAATTAAAATAAAACTTGATACAAAATGAAAAAGTAAGATTTGTGTGTGGTTTATTTAAATTTAATGCAAATGCAAACGAACCATTGATGATAAAAATGAGAAAAGAGCTGAGGTTAAATATGAGAGAAAGTAGTGGCAAAATGTCAACAAATATAACAACAACGGTAATGATAATAATAATAATAAAAGTTCTTTTTTTCAAATTGAAGCATGAAAAAATAAAATAAAATAATCCATAAGATATTCAATAGAATAATATCAATGAGATTCAATAATTCATTTCTTCATTTTATGCAACAGTAACTGATTTTGCTAAATTTCTTGGACAATCAACATCGTAACCACGTAAAACAGCAATATGAAACGAAAGTAATTGTAATGGTACTACACATAAAATACCTTGAAGACAATCAACTGTTCGTGGTATAGCAATGTGTCGGTGTACTAATTTAATTAATTCTTCATCATCTTCATTACAAATTAATACTGGTTGACCACCACGAGCTTGAACTTGTGAAAAAGCATTCATACATTTCTAAATGTTTAACTAATGATGAGATTTCTAAAGAGAAAAAAAAGCTAACATACTGTTTTAACAGGATCATCCATGATAATCATAACAATTGGCATTGCATGATCAACCATAGCTAAGGGACCATGTTTTAATTCGCCTGCAAGAATACCTTCTGAATGCATGTATGTTAATTCTTTTAATTTCTAAATTTTTTTAAATTCGAAAAATATTATAAAAAGTGAAGTTCTAGACTTACAAGTGCTCCTTCAAGACATGTAGCAAAATTAAAACCACGACCCATCACTAACAATGATGATTCATTAAATAAAGCTTCAGCATATTCACGTATTTTTTTATCACATTCAAGCACTCGCTTAATATAGTCGGGTAATTGTTGAAGAGCATCGATAATAGCTTTACGTCTTGGCTCTTTCGAAATCGAATCTTCCGATAAGACAAGACCGAAAAGAACAAGAGCAAGAAATTGACTTGTATATGCTTTTGTACTTGCCACACCTAAACAGATTCAAAATAGAAAGTTTCATAATTCATTGACAAATAAGCACTCTTTTTCGACTAATACTTTCAGTGAAAAACTTAATACGACCACTAAAAATCACCTTCGTATTGTAATGTTGATGAAATTTTTAAAACTTTTTTAAATTCAAAAAACGATCTTCTGTATTCAAAGATTAATTCAAACGAAAGCTTATAGTCGAGTAAGTTCTGTCAATATGATACATCGATCCTTATCATCGGTGAGCTTCTCCAATAAGCTTTTCTTCGAGCAAAAGTTTATATTTATCTTTGAACAATATTCATAGTCAGTCTTCTCCATTAATGTTACTGTTCAAAATTTTCTTTCAACTAGATCAATTGTATTTTTTATACTAACACACTGAAAATTCTATTGTAGACTATTTAAACACCTACCAATTTCAGGTCCAGCATTAATATGAACACCACAATGTGATTCACGTGAAATACTTGACCCTACAGTATTTGTAAAGCCAAGAATTAGTGCGCCACGTTGCTTACAATAGCGTAACGCTAAAATTGTATCAGCTGTTTCACCTAAAATAAATCGAATATTTTTTTTATAAAAAGAAAAAAAAAACAAAGAATGAAAAATCTAACCTGATTGTGAAATAAAGATACAAACATCATCACGAAAAACCGGTGTATTTCGATCAAGAAAATCTGAAGCAAGTTCAACCATCACTGGTAGTTCAGACAATTCTTCGAGTAATTGTCGTGTAGCAACAGCTGAATGATAACTTGTACCACAAGCAATTAAAATTAAACGACGGCAACGACGAATCTCATTAGCATAATCTTTAATACCACCGAGTACCACCTTTTTTGTACTGAAATTGACGCGGCCACGCATTGTATTAATAACGGATTCTGGTTGTTCGAAAATTTCTTTTTGCATAAAATACTTATAATTACCTAAGAAAAAGAAATAGAATCTAACATTTACTGTAAATAAAGCTTAATACCTTTCATGATTTGTTGTAATTCAATTTTAAGTTCATGAATTTCACGAATTGTTGATTGACCTATTATTTCACCATGCTGGGTACGATGGATTGTTAATGCTCCATTATTAACAACTGCAAGATCATCATCTTCCATAAAAATAACTTGATTTGTATGTTCAATAATAGCACTAAGAAGAATGAACTATTATTTTGTACCATCTACAAACTCATGTAGATTTTCTTGTCATTTGACACTGTATTGAATACAGTTAATCAAACAGACAATTCATTTTTTTTGTAGATATTTCACTTGAAATATCTTATACAACAGATTTCGATTAGAAATATTTAAACTATACCTGGCATCCGAAGCAAAATAATATTCAATACTACGATCATTTCCAGTAACTGCTAATTCCACTGCTGCTTGATCGGTAATCATTAATGGAGGTGAAAAGACACCACGTAAGTCTAAATAACATAATTAGAATCATTCGATAAGAGATATATATACAAATCATCTATACAGATCAAACGTGTGTAAGAGTGAATATTAGCGCATCAATCATGCAAGAAAAAAAATGACATGCATCTTTATTGTTTGCATTTATCTGTCAAACAGCGTTGGTTTTTTTAGCTTTATTTACTTGCTGTAGTAGTTTCAAGAAAGTGAGCATCATTGCGTGAATCTTTGCTATTTTGATGATTGAAATCTATTTTATGAAAAATTATTGATCAACAAGTTCGTATAACACAAAGCTACATTGAGAAAATTCTTCCTCAGACAAAATCTATAAACATTTTGTTTTATGTGAAAGCATTTTAATGCAAACAAATACAAAGTAGCACAATGTAAATGTGATGGGTGACAAAACGATTCAATAAGCTGGTAATGGTAACTATGTTATCTAATGACCCATTAGGTATACTATAGAAATCAACGGCACACTTCGATTTAGTTACCTTTTGAAAGTCGAGGATTTGTAATTTCTAATTTTCTCGCATTCCTCAATAAGATATAAAAATATTTTTACAATTACATCAATATTTACCTTTACTAAACATAACTGGAATATGATTAGCAGCTAATTGATCAGCACATTTCACTCCAATAACCATTGGACTTCCACGACTAGAGAAATAGTCTTTTATTTATTACTTGAAATTAAACCTTTACTATACCGTGTAGCACATAGTTCTCCTGGAAAATGTGTACTTTTGAAAAGAAGTGCAAAAGCACCTTCCTAAAAAACAATAACATAATTAAAAACAACTATTATTCATTGTTGGAATGAAATAATTTACCAATTGTGAACAAGCCATTTCGATAAGTTTTTGAAAACTAACATTTTCATCTTTATGCTTATCATAAAGATATTTAACTAATTTCACAACAACTTCTGTGTCGGTTTCAGATTCGAATCTGTAACCTTTGTTTGTCTAGAAAAAGGATTCATCAAAACGAATAATTAATGGTCGTCTCTTACAAGATATTGTTTAATATCCTTGTAATTCGTTATAATTCCATTGTGAACGCAAACAAATTGATTTTGTTCATCAGAACGTTGTGGATGAGAATTAACTGCATTGGGTTCACCGTGTGTTGCCCAACGTGTATGTGCAATACCAACATGAACAGTAAATTCGGCATCCCAATTAATATTTTCTAATGCTACAAAGTAAAGCAGATAGAAAAAATTAATTTAGCTATTTTTTTAAACAAATATCCAAACTTACATCTAACTGCATTATCTAGTTCGTCAACTTTTCCTTTTTGTCGCACAACGATACAAGCACGTCTAGATTTCGATGATTGGTTTTTATCATTTCCTTCAATGTCATCACCGTCAAACGCAATACCTGAAGAATCATAACCACGATATTCTAAACGATGAAGACCATTTAGGAGAATATCAGCTATAAATCGACGATCACGTTTAACCAAATAATTCAAATAACCAAAAATACCTTTTAAGTAAAATTGAAAAAGACTACTCGGAATTTTCAAGCAAAAGAAATTCTACATACCACACATGGTTGTTATTACTGTTTAATAATAATCGAAATCTGGAAAGAAAAAAAGAAAATTTTTTTTTTATGTGGCACCAGTTGAAAGAAAATGATAATAGAGTAGGTCGATTTACTAGAATACTGCGTGGTAAGAATGAATTGAATGACGAAGCGACAGCTTCAAGCATTTCTTTGATTCTCCTTTGCGTATATATTGATGAAGCCTCGACAGGCATGATTTATGAAGAAAAGAAAAACATGCACACCAAGCATACGCACTACTATATACATATAGACACATAGTTCGCTTATTTTAAACCAATGGTATTTTATTCAAGTAACTTTATTCGATTGATCTAATAGTCAAACTTTAAAAAAATATTATTTTGCAATATCTGAATTAACTTTGGAGATTTGAATGAAAAACTAACAAACGCTCGAGTATCGAATAAAAACTTTGGAAATGATATACTAGAGAAAAAAAAGATGTAACCATAAACAGAATGTCATAGAATAACACATCAATTTCATTGCGTATGTTGATGAATGTTCATACATTAGGCATGAATAACTAGCATATAAATCTATCAGATTCTCATCTTAAATTGTGCAAAAAATCTTTCTATTCTTGCCATATGAATTCCACGTACGTTAATGAAATCAATTTACCCACTGGTTGTTCTCTCCTGTATCTACTTCTTTCGCTCGCGTGAAATGGTATGGTCGTGGTCTTCTTCTCTTCGTTACGTTACTTAATTTTTTCATCTTGTTATTGTTCCTTATTTTTCTCTTTCTCTTTCTCTTTTTCTTTTTCTTTTTCTCTTCATTAACATTGTACTGCAAGGATCAATTCGATCAGTGTCAGCAAAATATTAAAAAAAAATCTATCAGATTCTCCCA